CGCAGCGAAGGGATGTTTGCAGCATCCCTCCCTCCCTCCCGTTTTGTGCACGTCGGACCGTGCTGACCTGACGGCTGTGGGTGCCTGGGTGCCCGTCGTACTGACCTGCCACGCTGCAGGCTGCGATTTGAAGGGCAGGCTTGTTTTCCTTCGTTGGCGGATTCAGCAATTATGTTGCCACAGGGCAAACAAACAAAAAAAAAAACCAAACCAACACATTATGTGTTAATAAATTAGATTAAATATAGCATGAAACCGCTCTGTTTCTAGTTCAGGCAGGCATCGCTACTGAGAGAAACCTGTCCCTTTGCTTAGCAGAAAGATTTGTGCCTGTGTGGCCAGCAAGTCTGACTGAAAGATGGATTTAGGATCCAAGTTAATTTGGTGAATTTTGTTGTTTTGTTTTGCTGTAATCTTTTGAGTTAAACTGGTTCACCAAGCTACTTTGCCATGCAGCTGTATTGACACTTGTGCAGTTCTGAGGAAGGAGCGTCGGGAGGAACATGGGACTGCTTCTTTGTGTAATATAGTCAGCTTGTAGTACTGTGGAACAGCTCAACAAAAATTGCATAGTTCTCCACAGTCCTGGATTATGCCTTTTTGTGGTATCGAGAGAGTTATTTAAACCTCATTTCTTGCAGATAGCTATTACATACATAGGATTTTGGTTTGGGTTTTCTGTGGGTGTTTTTGATTTGTTTTTGCTGTTGGTTTGTTTTTTGTTTTCTGGGAGTGAAAACCAAACTATTGAAACCGAATTATTTCCTTGGCAAATCTGCTGGGTGTTCTTGGTCTCCACCAAGTAGTAAATGTAGGAACACAGGATAGAAAAGACCACTGAGGTCATGGAGTGTAGTGCTTTGTGAGGATTGGAATACCATCAGTGCACATTTTTGACAAGTCTGCCAAACCTCTACTCCAAAAGCATAAAACAGGCTCTAAGACTGTAAACAAACTCCATAAGTGTAATGTTGTGGGAACGAGCAGAAGTGGCCAAGGCTTTTCTGGAGTTACAAGTCCTCGCAAGAGCAGGATATCTGTTAAATGTCCAGCAGATCCTGGGAAGTATATTATGCCTTGCAGCATGGAGAAGTATAAAAAGGAATAACAGTATCCCCTGCTCATCATATTAGAGAATAATCCCAGCCAATTCAATAAGGTTTTGCCTAGCATCCCAAATGCGATGGCAACCTTAGCTGAGTTAGTGGTATATACCTGCACACTGCTTCTGTGGGGTCTCTAGTTGCCACTAGTCTTTCTTCTCTATTCCACCCGCTTCTCCCGAGCTGCAGACTTGTCAGTGAAACTGTGTATCAGGAGCAAGGAGAAGTTCAGGTAGGGCCTGTGGTTTGTGTGACTTTAAAGCATCTTGACTAGAGAATGAAAATTTCTTAATTGAAGATAGTGCTGCTGAAGTTTCCTGAAGCAATTTTGTGTGTCCTGTTCTTTTAATATAGTATTAACTTTCGTCTAAAATGTAGCATTGATTTTAAGGGGGAGCAGAGAGTAGGATCTTGCTACTCTTTCAATGATAGCAAATCAACTAATGACCCATTGCCATACTTACGTAGCACGTACCTTTTGGTCAAAGATATCTTCGTTTTCTCGATAATAAGTTAACAACCCTACCTCAAGTTACTTTTTTATATCCTTTAAAGGAGTTACAGTACTGGCCCTTTTAAACTGTTTTTTGAACTTAGAAGGATCTCAGTTGTGAACCGTCGTTCGTTAGAGACTACATGTAAGATGTAAAATGTGAATGATGTACAATATATTTCAAAACAATCCAGGAAAGCTAACTGCAAATAAATACTAATTATTTCTATTATGTTTTTACAGCAGCAATATCAAAGTGCCCTGTTTTGGGCAGACAAAGTAGCTTCACTATCTCATGGTAAGTAGTTACTTTTTACATTGTTTTTGATTAACTGCTTTCTGATACCATTCTGTTTTGATTTTTGTTGTTTTTTTTTAAGCTGTGCGGCTAAATGTTGAAGTTTTGAGTTTGGTGTAAGTGCTTTTCTGTGGTCTTTGGAATGCAGTTTTTCCAAATAGAGCAGGACCAATCTTCCTTCACTTCCAAACTTGGTGTTAAAATTAATGTTTGGCTAAACTTTAAGGTTTGCCTACCTTAGGAGACCAAAAAAAAAAAAAAAGGCTACAAGGGACAACAGTGGTTTCCTACAGGATTCACTGTTGCTCTGGGTGACAAGTAGAATGCAGTTTTACTGAGTGAGTTGATGCTGGTAGCCTATGTCTGCCTACAGCCATGGTCTGTTTACACTTCTTAAAATGATTCTAGGGGCTTGATCCTGCAAAAGCTTTGGTTGCAAATAAAGTAGGAGAGTGCTAAACTGTGCTTCTGCTCTTGTAACTTCCAGCTGCATAAATCTAATGCTTTCACTTTCACTGTTGTTAGGTTCCCATTGATTGTTTTTGAGAGGGGCAATTCTGGGTTGTTTTTCCTGCCCTATGTGCAAGGGTAGGGTTACTTACAAGTGCTGCCTTTTTTTAGATCGGTATCACTGTTGTCTCCTCATGACGCATTTCTAGTATGACATTTTTTGTATTCACTGTCCAGTGCACTATCTGATGTCTTTAAATTTAAAATCTGATTATTTTTTCATTTTAATCTCTTACCAATAGATACAAGTTGTTTATACATGCATATACAACTTTGTAACTCAATAGGATACTTGAGTGTGGGAAAAATACTTCTGTAGTGAAGCAAAAGTGAATATTCTGTATGAAGGTGTTGAAAGATATATTATAGATTAATCGTTATTATTTAATAATTATTATTAATCGTTAAATTATTCTTTAATTTTAGAGGAACCACAAGATATCTACTGGTTGGCCCAATGCCTTTACCTAACAGCTCAGTATCATAGGGCAGCACATGCCCTTCGATCACGTAAGTTGGATAAGGTAAGTAATTTTAATCAAAGACTTACTACTGTTATTCAGCTTTAAACCTCTGCTGCTAACTACAGTTACTTCTTCACCATCAGAGGATAAGGTTTATGGGAAAAGTAGTTTAAAAACCTGCATGATGTAGTTTATCTGAACCAAGTATAGCCCTGTGTTCAATCAGGCGGATTAAAACTGTTGTCCCCAGATAGGGTCAAAGAAAAGAGAAGTGGTCCAAGGATTTAACTGCAACAGATGTGGGAAGGTGGAGTGTCACTTCAGGGACAGATAGCTGTTTAAATTTTCCAATCACTCTGCTAATAAGTGCTAAAGGCAAGAGTGAAGCAAGTGTCTTTTGAGAGTTTAATAGTAGAGAAAGCGTTACAGACTTAGTCGTTTTGGTCAGGGAAGGATTTTGGAGGTGAAAGGGGTGAAGAAGCCATACGACTGAAAAAGGAGAGGGCAAAATGGAGTCTAGCAGTGTAAGTAAACATGCTCTCTCTTTGTAACTAATACACATGAAACTTCTCTTTCAGTTATATGAAGCGTGTCGCTACCTTGCAGCTAGATGTCACGTGAGTACACGTTTTTAACCTCAATTGGAAACAAACCAAACTAAATAAAAGATACATCTTGGGAAGATTAGGTACCTGGCAGGCAATGTAGATGTCTATGTTCATTAGAATAACAGGTTTAAATTTTGTGACAGTTGATTTCATTCTGTAACCTTCAGTATGGTCGCTGGAGTATTCATTGTGGTACTATTCTGCAGAAATCCAACTGACCTTTTTTTGCAGGAAAGAAAACACTTCTCTAATATTTTGTGGGGAAAGAATGTGAACTATTTTTGTCTCATGTCTTCATGTTTATATTTTTATTTGGTTGGTTGTACTCTGACCAGAGATGTGATTTATGGTTGTATAAATATAGTTAGCAGCTTTATGCTTCTGTATAAAATGTTATACATAAACAGTAAAATGCAGTGCCTTCACAGGGTAACTGAATCAGTTGGTAGATTAAATATAGAAATTTGAAATAGAATAATGTGCTGCTTATAGAATAAAATGATTTTATTAAAACCTGTATTAACTATTTTTAGAAGCTTACCTGCTTCTGTGATTGCATAATGCTGAATAATGGATTTTTCCGTAGGTGTTAATGTTATAATTTTGTGCATAATATAGATGACTAGTAAAATAGTTGACTGCAATTGTAAAATGACATACGTCCAAATAAGACTATGCACGCATGAAAAACCTGCTGATAAGCACTGGCTGTTATAATCTGTGCCTTTGAAATGTGACACTGTGTTTACTGGTGCTTTACATACAGATGTTTCAAATCCCAACCTTGTTTTTTACATGCACATGTTTGACTAGTATGCTGCAAAAGAACATCAACAGGCGCTGGATATTCTTGATATGGAAGAGCCCATCAACAAAAGGCTTTTTGAAAAGTACTTGAAGGATGAAAGTGGATTGAAAGACTCTACCACAGACTGGGAGATGTCACAATCCTCTGTAAGTGACGTTTTTAAAACCAGTATTTTTATAACTGAGAAAAATAAGTGTGAAGTCAGAAAGTGATTTTACAGCTGTATGAATCTGAAACTCTGTGTTTTAACTTTCTTTTTGGGATAACATAATTTTCAAAAATGCTGAATATTCTTCTTTCAGCCTGAAGTCATGCGTTAGCTTGCCTGTGTAACTTGGTTTGCAAAAATGAAGAGTGCTTTTCAACAGCGTCCCATAAATTATTTGCAGACTCTTTGCAGGAAGTTCATATCTAGCATTTGGTTTTAGAGTCTTTTTGCTCTATGCTGCAATTTCAGTCTTGACTACGTAAACTAACGCTTCTTTCAATTGGACTGTAAGTTCTGAGATAACAAAGCAAGGTTTCTTCTTTTCCAGATATTTTTAATGAAATATTTCCTTATTCAACTGTTGTTCTCAGTGTGACATTTTTTGATCACTCTTGAAAACTATGTGACGTGAAGGTGAAGTTTTTGAAGTGTAGTGAAAAAATTCTGCTTAAAATAGTTGAGTTCATCGATTTGGCCCTTTTCATCTCTACTGTGGTCATTCTTGTCTTGCTTGAAATACGTGGTTTAATAGTCAACATGTTAAGTAGTGAATCGCATTTCGAAGTGACGATTTCCCTTTATTGAATATGAAAGGAATTTAGCATAAATAGCTTACAACTCAATATTGGAGAGCTGGATGCCAGAAGCAGAAAAGATAAACTCCATCCTTCCTCTACTTCAAGTATGTGTTTGTTTGGTGGTAGATAACCTGTCGGCATTCGTGTGTTTTTTTGTTTTTTTTTTTTTTTAAGGTAGTAGAGACAATATTTCATTTACAGACAGCACTAGAAAACCAAGCTCCGTCATACATGAAACGCTTTTTACTTTTCAGGGAGCCCATTTGATTTGTGCTCAAAACCAAATTGCAAACATTGATTCAGTCTTTGACCTCCAGCCCTGCTTTTCCACCAGATCAAGAGCTCTATATGCCTTTTACGAGGGAAGATCTATGATGCTTTGGATAATAGAACCCTAGCAACATACAGCTACAAAGAGGCCTTGAAGCTCGATGTTTACTGCTTTGAAGCATTTGATCTTTTAACGTCGCACCATATGCTGACGGCACAAGAAGGTCTGGACAGCAGTGTTTCTCAAATACAAGTAACATTCAGCTGCTCTCTCAGTACACCTTTTTCCTGGATAAAAATGAAAGCAATGCTACAAGTAACAGACTTTAAAATGTTAAGAACAGAAGATGTATGAGATGCCTGAAAACTATAATCTGCTCATATCTACATTTAAACTTTATTTTTCACTCTTGTCGTGCTAAGAATTAAAAGAAACAAAGTAACCTGGCTATCCGGTTGATTAGCTCTGGAAGCTCCCGCGCTCTTTGCCTGGCCTAAACACTGTTTCCTGTGTTCTCAATTTCCCAGGCTTTGAATCCATGAAACTTTACTTTAGTTGTAGTAGCCATTGGTTAATACAGCATTCTGAGTGATAAAATTTGACGTATAGAGTAAATAAAAATAGTGAGGTGTTATGTCATCTTTATTACTTTTTATTTAAAAGTATAGAAGGAAAAACTGAGAATCCAATTATTAATTTCTGCAATTGGTAGTATTAACAGTACAGATACACTAAAACAGATGTATTCCTTGTAGTTTCAGGATAAGCATTGTAAAATTCTTTGCGTCTCTAAGTTCTAAAAACGTTGGATCTTGCTATTTCTTCTGTAATGTGACAACTTCATTTTTTTTTAATTCACATAGAAAAAGAACTTCTTGAATCTCTACCTCTTAGTAGACAATGTACAGAAGAAGAACAAGAATTGCTTCACTTCTTGTTTGAGAATAAATTGAAAAAGGTAAACCCCAAAACTGACTAAAAAGCTGGAGAATTGATTGAAAGTCTCAACTTCAGGTGTAAATTTTTTTTTATTCCATTTATTCTGAACATTGGAATAAATAAGGGCTTTGTAGGTTTGGTTATTTTAAAAATTATGATGTAGTAGATATCACTTTATGGGAGCATATAACAGTTTTGTGTGAAATTATTTTCTGGTGTGGTGACAACTTGAAATTCTGATTTTTTTATTTTTTTTTTAGCTTTATGTCTTGAGAAACTTCTAGATGGGGAAAAAGAACATTGATAACATAGGCAAAATGCCAGTTACCTGAAAATACTAGGGTATAGCAACGTTATTCCAGACTATTTTTTCCAAAGATAATGTGAGAGCACTGAAAGCCATATATTCGTCAATATTCATTTCTACAGCCTACAAATAACATATTGAGACTAACAAAGCATCTTTCATGTTCTAAGTGAGCTTTTAAGTACATTATAAAGAACCATTTTACCAAATATGTGTTTTATGGACTTTAGGTTTAAAATTAATATTAAGAAGCTTAATGCTTCTTAAATATTCTTTTAGAAATAAAAATACTAATACTTACCCCATCTGATTTTTAGATTGGTTGTTGTTTCTTTTGTATTTCAGTATAATAAACCCAGTGAAACATTGATTCCTGAATCAGTAGATGGTCTTCAGGAAAACCTGGATGTGGTGGTATCCTTAGCTGAAAGACATTACTATAACTGTGATTTCAAAATGTGTTACAAGCTTACTTCAGTGTAAGTATACAAAGCAACTTCGAGCGTTTTTTTTTCTCATATGGTGTAGTATAACAATTATGCCTGGGCTCACAGTGAATATAATTGTTCAATGGATTGACATACAAAACCATTTGATACGAAGTTTCAGGTATTTAAAACGTGTAGTTTGTGTCTTGCAAGACATGGTGTTTTTAAGATACGTAGCAGAAGTATCCAAAGCAAAACTCCGGTTAATCAGCACTGTGCGGCACCTCCCTTCATTCATCCTCTTCCTTACTCTGGTACCTCCAGTTTTGTGTGTTCTCTTGCCTGCTTCTTGTTTGGCCTTCAGAATGAACAGGTTTGGATCAGTTGGTTCGTTAGGCAGTATGATTTCTCTAGCTGATTAGAAGTTATGTTAATTTTGGGTTGCCAAGTATTGTGTCTCAGTTGTTCCGTAGCCCAGGCATACGCTGCTGTTGGTTGTCAGATCATAGAATCATAGAATGGTTAGGGCTGGAAGGGACCTTCAAAGGTCATCTAGTCCAACTCCCCTGCAAGGAACAGGGATATCTCCAACTAGATCAGGTTGCTCAGGGCCTCATCTAACCCGGCCTTGAACGTCCCCAGGGATGGAGCATCCACCACCTCTCTGGGCAACCTGGTCCAGCATTCTACAACTCTCATGGTAAAAAATTTTTTCCTAATATCCAACCTGAATCTACTTCCCTCTATTTTAAAACCATTACCCCTTGTCCTATCACAACTGGCCCTCCTGAACAGCCTCTCCCCATCTTTCTTGTAGGCCCCCTTGAGGTACTGGAAGACCGCTATAAGGTCACCCCGGAGCCTCCTCTTCTCCAGGCTGAACAGCCCCAACTCTTTCAGCCTGTCCTCATAGGAAAGGTGCTCCAGCCCTCTTATCATCTTCATGGCCCTCCTCTGGACCCTCTCCAACTGGTCCATGTCCTTCTTATGTTGGGGACTCCAGAACTGGACGCAATACTCCAAGTGAGGTCTCACAAGGGCAGAGTAGAGGGGGAGAATCACCTCCCTCGACCTGCTGGCCACGCTATGGGTCAGAACAACAACATGGATTGCTTCTCAGCCATGGTTGTGGAGCTAACCTTTCTGCTGGCCTGACAGCTACCTCTTTTCTTCTCTTTTCTTAAAACTGGATCTTTGTGTTTGTACTGCATAAACTCAGAATATTGGTAGCATAAAATGGAAGGGGTTTTGTTTACTTTTCTTTTTTTTTTTTTTTTATAGTAAAGCTTTTTCTTAGTTGAAGCAAGCCAGCACTATGTAGAGTATCCCATGGAACCCAGTACAGGCGAGGTTTTTGGGAAGGCTGTGGAGAATGCTGACAGTTACGATGAATTTAAGCATCTGAGTAAAATAATGATCCTGTTAAAATAAATTGCTCCAATTAAGTCAACAAAATTATACTGTTGCATCTTTGTTTCTGAAATTTAATTGCTGTGTGTTGTCTAGCAGAAAGTGGCAGGAGTAAATGTATGCTAAGGAGGAGACTACCACAGATGCTAGAGCTTGGAAATGAGTCTGGGAAGTTCATATGACTTTGAAGCTTTAGACTTTCTCCAAGAGACCATTTAATACACTTGTTTATATGTTCTTTTATACTTTTAATTTGAAATACTTCGAACTATTTTAAAATGTCAACTAAACTTTTAACCATTTCAAGATGTGCTTCTCAGAGAATAGGGTCATACTGTTGTAGTTCTGATTTAAGAGATTCTGTGAATAGATTTCAAGACGTTTTATTTTTCTCTGCTGAGTTTACCAGTTGCCAGTGCTTACAAAAAGGGCACATGCCTACAAGCCATGTCTTGCATGCAGTCTGTTGTCTGTGAGACTCTTCCATTTCTAAACACCACAGGAAATAGAAAACGAAAACTGAGCTAAATATGTTTCCTGAGGCATACTGCTTAGAGTTAAGCTCAGAAAGTTGAGGACTGTTGCTTGAAAGTCGCAATCCAATGTATGGAAAAGATGAACAGAAATGTTGTTGTTTGTGGGTTAAATTTGAAGTGACCTGCAAGAAAATGTATATTTTATTCTGGTTTTCCGATTGTTTATTCAGCTCGCCAGAATTTTCTGTTAAGCTAAATTAATAGCTATTTTTCTGGTCTTAAGATAGTCTTTACTATGCTGTTTATTAATAGTTACCTTCTAGTCGCAAATAGTTTTCCAATGCCTAAAGTGGTAATTAACTGGAACATTACACACTGTAAAAGCAGCTTATAACACATTAAAAATTTTTTAAATGTGCATTGCAGATTTTTTTTTTCTTTTTTAGAGTGATGGAAAAAGATCCTTTCCATGCAAATTGTTTACCTGTGCATATAGGGACACTTGTGGAGCTTAATAAAGCGAATGGTAAGAAGCACAATATTTAATATGAGTCAAAAGAAGATTGTAATGCTTCAATTTTAAAAAATAATTAAGGATGCCAAGAAACTCCCTTATATAACATTTTAAAAAATTACATATATTTTTCTTCCTACCTGCAGTTTCAAGAAAACAGCGGTAACTGGCAAAGAAGGGAGTTTCAGACCTGACAGCGGAGCGGGAGGGAGTAGTTGTGCAAAGAGTCTTTATTCATTCATGATCACGAGTGTCTCGTTCTTAACCACTAAGCTACATAACCAGAAAGTTAATGAGCTACCCTGCTTCATTTCTGTTGTTCGATTGCTGTTTCGAGGTGCTCTTCCTAGAGTGTCTAGGTGTACTTTTTCTGCTCAGCAACAAAATGGAAATGTATTAATTTAAAGTAGAAGGAACTCTTCAGCAGTATGTATGCTTAGGTGGACATGCTTTTTTCCATATTAGAAAAAATTCTAGACTCCTCTTGCCTTTGCTGTTACGAAGGCCTGTTTTTAGTTCAAATTTAGTAATCTTGCAGCACCTTTGCTAGAATTACGATAATAGCTTACTTGCAGCTGGGATGGCTTTTTCTTGTTTCAGACTGCATGTAAACATCCAAATCAAGTGAGGAGCTTGAATGTGTTTAAAAGCAATTAGAGAATACAATAAGGAGCCCATATGATTTGCAGTATCTCAAAGGATGATGCTTTGTATGTACACAAATAGGTCATTAGGTGTAATAGTACTTCTCAATGTTTAGTAAGTGTACTTTTCATTTACTTTACAGTTAACTACATCTGAAAGTGTGGCCAATACTCTGATTTTTCTTCTAAGTCTGCCTTGAGAAGCATCTTGTAAATAAGTTGGTTTTTGTAAGCCAGTTTTCATATTTGATTTTTCTGACGCTAAGAATCGATACAAAGTACTCCAGGACAAACTGATCAATTTAAGAGCACTGTACTCAGAAGAAATAGAAATTTTATGTACCATAATGCTCTTTATTTTGAAATTGCATAGGCAATAGAGTCGTTATCCTGTATCTGACTACTTCTGCTGTTATTAGAAAATTTGTATTAAGTTATTCGAATAACTACAGTTACTATTTTTATTAGAAAAGTAATCACTCTAGAATTATTCCAAATAATACAGTCATTTATTTGCTTTTGTCCTATTTTCCGCATATTATTGCACAGGATTCTACTTTGGAATTTATCTAGCCAGTATGTTATACCTTTTAGATGTATTAATTTCAATAGTGTTTTACCGTGACAAGATACATTCAAGCGTAATACTACAGGCATTTATTTTAATGTATGTTAATGACCTAAGTTGTTGCGGAATTTTTAAGGAGTGGCATGTATAGCTGCTTATTTATGTGCTGTGAAGACTTATGTGGGTTGGTTTTGCCTTTTTTTTTTAGTTAATTGCAAAACTGAATGTTTTGAAGCAGTTTGAAGGATTACCACTAAACAGAAAACATTTTTGTTCACTTATGCATTAATAACATGAAATTTTCTGAATATTTTGTATAGAAAGCTAAAGGGCTTGAAGCATCTTAATGTTGTGGCTCATTTTAATTTTCTTTTCTTGTTTCTTCCCACAATGTAGAGCTTTTCTATCTTTCTCACAAACTGGTGGACTTGTACCCAAATAATCCTGTAAGTTGTTCTAAGCCTTCATTACCTGGTAGTTTTTTCTAGATGAGAGCACGTAAAAGTTGTAACGTAATAGTCAGGTTGAGCAACAGAATTCAAAATCTCTTCCTGGATGGAGCTAGTGAAAGCAGTTCGCTCCTTTTATTTTCTATGCATTGTGGTTTTTATACTAAGGTTCTTTTTTTTTAAAGCGAAGTACCTGTGAAATATATTCTATGTGAGGTATTCACTTTGAATAATAATTTAAAACAAATGCTACAGTAATAAATATATATGCACCTCTGAGGAAATTTTACAGTGTTTGAACACCTTCATAGGGAAAATTGTTTTCCTTTTACTCAGTCTGAATCTCCCATGTTGCAACTTGTTCCTGTTGATACCTGAAAAGGAAATTGAACTTTCCAAGACTCGTTTTAAGTTTTAGAAAGCAGGCATTCTTTGTTGCAGCACTGGGTGCACGGGGGATTTCTCCTCCTAGTGTGCACACCCGGCTTCTGGACAGAAAGCTAGTTATACACTACAATCATACGTATTCATAACATATTTACATGTTCTTAAGCTATTGGTTAATTTTCTCTCGTTTTACACATAAATTACTTCGCATGCTCAGTTCTCTTCCTCCACCCCTTTCTTTTGGGTCTGGGGTGTATTTAGGGTAGGTGGTCCGTGAGTCAGTGGTCGCGATCTCCCCCTGCCGGAATTACCTTTTCCCCCAAGTCACTGCATGTTCACAGTTCAGAAAAACATGATACCAAAGTTTATGCAGTTTCTGGGATGTTCCCTCCAAGGGCAGACAGTTCTTGATAAAGAGTCTCCTTTTTAATCACTCCTGACAGCTTCAAGGATGCTCATCTTGTTAGTTTCTTTAGGTATGCGTAAATCACCTATTGCCGACTAAACCCTTCATGAAACTCTTACACAAAAACTTTAACCCCTTTATTGTTGGGTAACACCTTGCCTCCCATCCTGTCATTGCACCTCTGAGAAGAGTCTGGCTGTCTTCTGTGTTCCCTACCATTAGGTAATTGAAGATAGCAATAAGCTTTCCACTCAGCTCTCTCTTCATGAGGCTGAACAAACCCAGTTACAGACACACATGCCAGCAGTTCTGGCTTGTCTGTAACATCAAATAATTTGAAAAGCTGACTGCGATTTCAGTGAAAATATTCCTAACTTCTCTAATTATTATCCTTCCTCTGTTTTGCGTCACCTATGGTGATGTTTCATTAAAATCAGTGTGATATATCTAACAATATTCTATTTTGATTTTAATGTGTAGGTGTCATGGTTTGCAGTAGGATGCTACTATCTCATGGTTGGCCACAAAAATGAACATGCCAGAAGATATCTCAGGTACAGGTGGTTTTTTTTTTTCAGGTTTTCCGTAGTGAATCTCTTGCTCGCTTGCTAAATAAATATTTAATGTTTCCAATTGTTTGTAAGCTCATAAATTAAACAGAAGCCTTGATAAACTGGTTACTACTAAAATATTCCTCATGTTGCCGCCCTTTTTTTGGTATAGCAATTTAGACCTCAACATTCTAGATACATAAGTCTGTGTGTCATTTTTGAAGTGGCGTATCTTTTGGCAGTCACCTTCCTGTTATGGGTGGGTGTAGTCCCTGCATTCGCTCATTCTGCCAAGCTCACTACAGCTAGGCAATCAAGCCTCAGCTTGTAGTTTCAAGCATTCTCCCAGTTTCAGGTTTCATATCTTAAAGGAAAGAGTTAGATAGCCAAATGTCAGAATTTTCTATCTAGTTCTTTCTTTGCACAAACAGCCTTGGACTGTTTAGGTTGGTCAGTCAGTCCAGTGCTCTTTCCTGCGGGTCTTATGTGTGTGTATTGGTTATCAGCACTGGGGAGCGGGACCTTGCTGTGAAGTGTGGTGTTTGTTTTGATGCTGTAAGCTTAAACTGAGAAGGCTTAAATCAACTAGTAAAGCTTTCATTTTTCTTCTCGAGACCTTTATAGACAATATGTGTAAATATGAGTTAGTAATTTAGACTGTTTAAGTGCCTGGTTATTATGTGTAAACAATTTAAATTCCTGAGGGACATAGGTGGTGAAATAAAGAACATAGTTATTAAATCTGCAAGCATGCTTAGCCAGGAAGGGTCTATAGATGTGTTAGGGGGAAAAACAAAACAAAACAAGATACCAGAATGCAAGGTAGTTCTGCCAAAGAGGAAAAAAGGTCTGGTAAAAGTGAAACAGGAACAAGATGCTACAAGGCTAAGGACAGCTGTGGACTAGGCACTAGTTTTTAGAAAAGGATCTGGAGATACCATGGATAAAAACATAAGCTCCCATATTGTTTTGGAGTCACAGGACATCGTGCTGGAGCGTGCTGAACAGGGTAGAAGGCACAGCTGGGCAGTGCACTGTAGCATGTAAGGGAAGTATCGTTCTGGCTGCTGCAGGAGATCTCTGCACCCTTTGCGTCTTGCAAAAGGGCTTACCTCATCTTGGCACCAATTAGGAAAACAACATTTGTGATAGAACATGATCCATCTTTTATGACAGTAACAAAGCTGTATTGTAATGTGTCGCTGTTGACAAGTCAGCGTGTGTGGAGAACTCAAGATGGATGTGAGATGATCAAATTGAATTCAAGAGAAGGCACTAAACAAGCATTCTGGAGAAGTTGACCAATAAGGAAAGTTTTTGAAGTGATTGAAGCTGTTTAGGATGTAGGGTGGGAAGATGCAAATGTTGGAATATGTAAAGTTTTGTCCCAGGAGACAGAGAACAAACAGTTCCCTAGGATCCGTGATGAGAAATAACGAGTTTAACTGTGACAAACAAAATTTAGATTAAATGTTGGGGAAAAAATGAAGTGTTTAAGTGTAGTTAAGCAACAGAATAGATTACTTGTGGAAAACGTAGGATCTCCGTGTCAGAAGCTTTCAAGAAAAGATAGGGCACGTCTGTCATGAGATGTTTAGTTATGAATGCCTTTGCCTTCTGACCAAGCAAATACCCTACAGAGCTTTCTAACGTTCCTGTCAAGTCCATATTTCTGTAGGGACTTCAGGTTGCAGTCTTGATGCTTAGGTTGCAGTCTTCAGCTCAGGACTTAGGTGACATTTTGTATACTTCTCTGATGCATGGCAACCGTCTGCAATGTCACAAATAAGTACTCTTGTCTTCATTAAGGCTAGTACAATTACATGGCAAAATTTAAACACACAGTTCAATCTAAGAGTTCATCTGGTATTTTCATATCCTGCTTGTGAAACTTATGTATGCTAGAATATATTTATTTTGAAATGTATAGCTAGAATTTTGTAAAACGTTATGAGTCATTACTAACTTTTTCTGTATTTTGGCCAATTCACCTATTATATTATTATCTATGTTCAGTAATATCAATAAATTGCTGCTGTCTTTGAACAGCAATAGAAATAATACAGTGAATTCTTGAAAATGTGTGATGCTTTAAAGTGCTTGTTGTTGAACTTTTAAACTTTGTTTAAGCTGGTCATTACAGAAGATTATCTTAATAGATACATAATGATGTGGCACAGCATTACTATGTAAATAGTCATGTGAAGCAGATTAAATTTAATTTTTTATACGTATATTTGTTTAATTTTTTATGTATGTTTTTGCTTATGACCTACTCTTGTTTTTTAGCAAAGCTACTACACTTGAGCGAACGTATGGACCTGCATGGATAGCATATGGACATTCATTTGCAGTTGAGAGTGAGCATGACCAAGCCATGGCTGCATACTTTACAGCTGCACAGCTCATGAAAGGGTATGTCAAAAAGGTCACACTCAGAAAAATTAAAATTAATCCGTAAATAGTGTAGAATATTTACCTATATCCCTTTAAACAGTAGGAATACATTTGCAATAATTAGCTGGTAGAGAACAAAGGAGGGAAAAACCCAGTAATTTCATCATCTGCATCTGACTACATTATTTGTACTTGATTATTGTTACGATTAAGTCAAGATTTATATTTAGGTAATCTGTGTTCTACCTGAAAGTTCTCTGAAACTTGTGAATCATGTTTGTCATACCACGTCATAAACTGCTGTATAGTAATATCTTGAACAGCTGTTTGATCCTGTGGAGAAGGTTGTTAAATGATTAGAGGACTAATCATGTCATATTGTATATGAAACAGTATTTGCATTTGGTTGTAGTTATTGGTAAATGTAATCCCTTTGTTATTACTACTTCTGTATTCTATTTGTAAGCAAAATGTAGGAAGGATAGTAGGGGAAAAAACACAACCCTCTGAACTAACTTAAGCACTGAGAAAATACATGTAATTCCAGAGCAAGTTACAACTGTGTATTGGAGTTGAAGTTCTTGTCAATAACTTACAAAGTTCTCTTAGGTTAATAGTCCATTTAAATCAGCTTTTTACTTGGATGTACATAAACATATGCAAACACAGTTGGTGTTTCTTTATAGTTTGTGATGCCATTCCTGATAAGTGCATGATATTTGCCTTTTTTTTAATAGGTGTCACTTGCCGATGCTCTATATTGGACTGGAATATGGTTTGACCAACAACTCAAAGTTAGCCGAAAGGTTTTTCAGCCAAGCTTTAAGCATTGCACCTGAAGATCCTTTTGTTATGCATGAAGTTGGAGTGGTTGCATTTCAAAATGGAGAGTAAGCTTGCAAAATGAAACATGGATTACTCTAAAGTGTAATGTGCCAATATATCTACAAAAGTATTTCTGTTGAGCTACAGAATGCAAAGTTTCCTTTTTTTCTAGTTTAGATGGTGTTTACCCTAAACCCTTGCTTGCTATGTTGTTCTTCCTTGTTTAAGATAGAACAAGGAAAGAATGTAACTCTTGAGGAACATAGAATGGTTAGGGTTGGAAGGGACCTTAAAGATCATCTAGTTCCAACTCCCCTGCCATGGGCAGAGAAATCCTCCACTACACCAGGTTGCCCAAAGCCTCATCTAACCTGGCCTTGAACACTTCCAGGGATGGGGCATCTACAACTTCTCTGGGCAACCTCTTCCAGTGCCTCACCACCCTCAATGTAAAAAATTTCTTCCTTATATCTAATCTAAATCTGCCCTCTTTCAGTTTAAATCCATTGCCCCTTGTCCTATCACTACACACCCTTGTAAAAAGTCCCTCTCCAGCTTTCCTGTAGGCCCCCTTTAGGTCCTGGAAATTTGCTATAAGATCCCCCCAGAGCCTTCTCTTCTCCAGGCTGAACAGCCCCAACTCTCTCAGCCTGTCTTCATAGCAGAGGTGCTCCAGCCCTCAAATCATCTTCGTGGCCCTCCTCTGGACTTGTTCCAGTAGCTCCATGTCCTTATGTTGGGGACTCCAGAGCTGAACACAGTATTCCAGGTGGTGTCTCACGAGAGCAGAGTAGAGGGGCAGAATCACTTCCCTCGACCTGCTGGCCACACTTCTTTTGATACAGCCCAGGATACGATTTGCTTTCTGGGCTGCCAGTGCACATTGCCGGCTCATGTTGAGCTTCTCATCCACCAGCACTCCCAAGTCCTTTTCCTCAGGGCTGCTCTCGATCCATTCTCCGCCCAGCCTGTACTTGTGCATGGGATTGCCCCAACCCACGTGCAGGACCTTGCACTTGGCCTTGTTGAACTTCATGAGGTTCTCACAGGCCCACCTCTCCAGCCTGTCAAGGTCCCTCTGGATGGCATCCCTTCCCTCCAGCGTGTCCACAACACCACACAACTTGGTGTCATCTGCAAACTTGCTGAGGGTGCACTCGATCCCACTGTCCATGTCTCCAACAAAGATGTTAAATAGCACTGGTCCCAGACAGATGCCTTTTCAAGGCATGCAACTCTGCCAAATGACAGGCACACACAAGTGCACGTGCTATGAAATTTTGTACAGCAAACCATTTTACCAGCTGAGGAGGTTCCAAATATATTCTGAAAATAACTAACAGAAATAAGAACTGTTTAGTGAATATTCATGGTTTGCTTCTGATTTTTTAACTTCGTCCTGTTAGCTCTTAGGAGCACATGCAAAATAGTCATACGTAAATTACTGGGTTTTTTGTAGCTGATTTCACTCGTACGACAAAATAACGTCAAAGAACTGTTCTTTACAATACAGTTTTCTCATACTGCTAATGAAAACTCTTCAGTAATTTACTTTTTTTTCCCTCAACCCTTCAATTCTTAGCTGGAAAACTGCAGAAAAGTGGTTTCTTGATGCACTGGAAAAAATCAAAGCTATTGGAAATGAGGTATTTTTCCTAATAACATGCATGATCATAAATTCATAAAACTCCAGGAAATTTCTGTAATATCTTCTGACAAAATATGTTGTGCTTATTTTAGGGTAGAAGCAATAGAGTGTAAATTTGACTTTAAAACTTGGGCCATCTGCTTGTAATCATGTATGTTGGGGTTTTAGACAAGAATCATCACACATTATCTTCAGTGCTATAGGAAAAGGCAAAAAGTGTGTTTCTTTATGAAATGAGAAGAAAATAAGCGTTGACTGGAAGGTGGAATCCAGGTGTCATTCTCAGTCTTAGGTCTCAGTAGACCAGTGGTTCTTGACCTGAGGGTGGAACTGGGTATGCAGATGAAGATGGTTTCTGCCACCTTAAGCGTTAGCTGTTTCTTGAAGCTGTTTCTTCCATTTTTGTTTGAATGTAATCCTGTGTGAGAGTGGGCCCAGGAATGCTTAACTAACTTCCTGAAAGTAATCAAAATAATCACATTTTTCCTGTCAAAAACTCGTCAAACGCTGGAACACACAAATGAGTTTGTACCTAAAGAAAAACATTTTACTAGAGTAACTTAAGATGCCTTAATGAAAGCAGCACCACCTTGTCACAGGCTTCTTGTCAATTTTAAGACAGGTTTTCTCAATTTTTTTTTCTTTTTAGTTTAAATTTAGTGAACAAGGACACCACCTCATGCTGCTATAATTATTAACATGGCATCTTCTATCAAGATAATGAAATTGCTTCTAGAACAAAATAAACCTTCTATAAAGTGGAAAGCACTGAAAAAATCTATAATCTTTGTGTGGACAAGGCACACATTTACTAAAACTAACTGCACGGATACTAATTTATACACTCACCAATATATAAACAGGGTTGTTCTGTTCTAGTTAAAGCTGTATTGTTCATGCGAATGCCACACGCTTTGTAGATCAGGCTTCAAATTATGCAAATGGCTAAATTCTTTAGTGTGGCGGTTTTCTTGTTTAGCGAGAAGTACTAAATATCAACATATCTACAAACACACAAATGGAAGTCTAGAATTAGAGTGGGAAACACCTCAAATAAGATTCTCTTACATTGTTATAAGTCACAAATTCATAATGCAATCGAGTCCAAATGATTTTTAATTTCATCAAAAAGTGTTCTGAGGATTTTTGTTGGCTCATATTGTCTTCTGTGTGTCTTGTAAATGAGCTAATTGAATTAAAGCAGATGAAGTTAGACTATGGAGAAGACAGGAAAAAGACCTTCAGTATTTATGAGTATTTTACAAACACCTAATTTGGGGTCTTCGGTACTACTAGGCTGAGAAACTTGATGTGATTTTTAAGTAGAAAACAAATTTTGTTTGGTTCGCATCCAAGTTTTACTATCACTGACCCTTTAATTGGGTTTAGGGAATGGAAAAATTAGAAAAATTAGTTATTGAATAAATGTTTTGAGCTAAAATATGTGTGTTGAAAAGACCTGAAAATGCTTATGATATGTTTCTTGGTCGTGAATGAGTTGCCTTGTTCATTTGTATATGTGGTGGGTTTTTTTTTAAAGTAGACAAAATTCAGTTACGTCTGGGAAGCTGCAGTTATTTGAATTGTTGCATTATTTTGCAGGTAACAGTTGATAAGTGGGAGCCTTTATTGAACAACTTAGGACATGTCTGCAGAAAACTCAAGTAAGCAGAGAGTACTGGAGCTACATTTATCTGGAATACTACACAAATGTATTTTCTCTATGCCTGCCTCTCATTTATATCAAGATTATGTACCACATGAGAGCAGTGTAGAAGCACCTTATAAGAACAAGATTCCCTAAATCAGCTTGTGAACGTAAATACATTAATCACCCCTTATATCCAGTTTCCTACAAGTGAGTTAATGTACTTAATGTGAAGAAAGCCTTTCCTTAACTACTGGTTCTTACTGGATAGAAATTTGGTCGAAGGCTTTTAGGTCCTTGTATGGATCTGAGTTTTAACTGGCTGCTTGAGTATGTCCACTGCTTTAGTTAACATAAAGGTGGTTTTGTGCTGATGAATTGCTTGGATCAGTGCTTGTGGGTTTTTTTTTTCTTGAGGTGAAATACTCAGTGACGTTAACACAGCAATAAAATATTACTTTATGGTTTTTGAGAACAGAACTATTTCATATTTCATTTCATATTTGCATTCTAGGAAGAGAAAAAGAAAGGCAGAGTATATATGTAAGCTTTAACAGTTTTAACATAAAGATTTTCTCATTAATTACCTTCATCTGATGTTAACCAGTGTTTTCTTTTGTTTAATCAGTACCGTATCTTTTTTGTGTGTGTCATGGTTTTAACTGTCCAATTCGTGTATACTGTAATTTTTGCTTCAAAGCTGTCAATGAGAATGTGATTATGGTAGATAAAAGTCGTACTTCTGCTTTGGCTTTGGTAGTAATTGCTTTGTGCTCAAATTGCCAATTAGTCTTCATTTTCATTATGAAATACAATGTATAATGGTTACCCCTTCTGCCAAGATCAAGCAAAAGGCACTGCTTCTGGAATCCATTCATGAGTATAATTGCAGGGTTTTTCTTCAAATACTTGTTTCAGTTATAATTTCTTTTGTCTTTTTTTAATTTCTACAATAAGTTAGTAACTGCTTACATCACATTTAGGGGAATTTGCATTGTATTATTTGTTCAGGTTCAGAAAGCCAGCCTAATGTAATTCTACATCCTTGTAAACCATCTTTTGAGAAAATCGCATTGAGAATTTAGGCAGCTGTACATATGCTTTGACAACTTAAAATTCTGTAATAATTTACTGTTCATAAAAACTAATTTCAAGTTCATAATACATGCTTTTGTTCTTGTGAAAAAAACCTACTGGATATATGTCTGCTCACTATCATTATGTGGTTGAAGTTTGAAAGCAGCATATTAAAATACAGTGGTAGTTAATTGGACTGGTAAATACTATGAGTGAAAATAAAATTCAAACCATGGGAAAGTTTCGTGCAGCAAGCAAACAGTTGCATAATTTTTCTGCCTCAATTGTTACTTACTGCCCTCTAACAGTTTTGTTAATGTTGCTGTTTTGCATAATTTCGTTATAACTGTAGACGTGAAAATTTCTTCTGAATAGACAATTGCTATCTTTATACAACTTGCTACTAGGATGTCAAATGTGACAATTTAATTTCTCAGAGTAATGCCATAATGTACATTTAATCCTTGTTTTATAAAATAACAAATGCAATAAACAGTCTAATTAATGGATAATTTTTAAAGAAAGGGTGGCTAGTATTTGAAAGAAATTACGGATATGTGTAAATCTTCTTTTCTGATAGAGGACAGTAGCAAAATGGAAGTGACAAAAGTATCAGTGTATGTAGCACTTCAGGGTTGTGAAATTTCTGCCCGGAGAGCTTTTCTCACTTTGAACGATGAGTGGTTTAGTCTCGTACTGCTCCTTTGCTCCCCTGTTTAGGAAAATGAAAGCTGCAGAAAGCAAGCAAGCCAATGTTACAATGAGCAGCATTAAACGTCCAGAGCAATTTACCATATCACATTGCTCAGCTTATCTCTAAACGGGGCCTCGCTGTAGGCAGCTGTTGTGCTACGTAAGGGGAAGAATGATTTCTCAATTACTTTGAGGAAGAAAATTGTCAATATCCACAAGTCTTTTGTGCGTTGTATTATGTTCAGAGTATGAAGCAATAATTTTTAAGTTCCTGCAGAACTGCACGGCACTGAGCGAAGGAAAATAGCAATATAATACTATAAAAACACTTTTCACCCTGAAGCTTACCAACAGATCTTCTGTATTTAATCCTAACAGGAAATATGAAGAAGCACTGGAATACCATCGACAGGCTCTAGTATTAATTCCTCAAAATGCTTCTACTTACTCTGCCATTGGCTACATACACAGTCTAATGGGCAATTTTGAAAGCGCAATCGACTATTTTCACACGGTATGTAACTGGCTTAAATTCAAGTGCTGGTCACGTACTCTGTTATTTACTGTTTCATTCTGGTTTGGTTTTGGAACCAGCATTTTATCCAGCTTCTAAATTAGTGTTTATTTTATGATCTTAATTTTTTTGGAAAAATTTAATCTTCCTCAATTTTCTGTTGATTAGATAAAAAATGGCCACTTTGTGAAACTTAGTACTTGGATCCTTCTTTGTTATGAATTCACAGAATTAATTGAACATTGTTAATTGTCGTACATATTTTATATACATAAACTTCTCATGCAGCTGAAATGACTTAAAATACTTCCACCCTGTGCCTTGAAGTAGAAATTTTACAGCAAGTGCAACATTTAAAGATATGCTACTTTCTGTTATCTTAGATTTATCTTTACTATATGATACTTGTATATTATTACTGCAGGACAGTGTGGTGATTTTACGTTTTCATAGAGTAACAGCGAATTTTCCTCAGCTGAGTTTTCAGCATTCAAGTTGATTGGCTTGAATTTAGCTGCAGTTCTGTTTACCTAGAAGCTTGTATTAAGTATGTTTAGTTGTAATTACTTTAAGCGTGTCTCAGTCTGTTTCGTTACCAATTGTACCTTAGCTATACAAAATTAACTTCCTCACAGGTTTTCTAGCAGTTATTCTAGTAGTGTGTTATACTTCGTGGTTTGTGAATGATTCTCTGTTTGTGTACGTATCCTTTTCTGGTTTTGTTTGTGCTTTGCTCGCTTACTACTTCAGCCAGTTCATATGACAATACTCTTTCAGTTGTGCAGTGTTTCACTTTACAGTGAAGGCGATGCTCTGGAGCATTGTCGAGCAACAAAACAACAAACTCGGAACCATCGTGGACTTAAGATGTAAAGGGTTTTATTTTCTACTGAATACTTTTTAGTGTTTGGTTTTGTTTGGGTTTTTTTCAATAGGCCCTTGGTCTTAGGAGGGATGACACGTTTTCAGTCACGATGCTTGGACATTGCATAGAAATGTATATTGGTGATTCTGAAGCCTACATTGGTAAGTCTGTCCCTTACATGACTCTTAAGTCCTTTGAGAGGAGTATTAATCTTACATCGAGTCCTTTGAGAGGAGTATTAATCTTACACCAAGAAAGACTGTCTACCATTACCTAGTTAACTTACGAAGTAGAATACGTCTTTGTTTGAATTTTTTTGTTTTATTTTTGTTTTAAATGGCTAAATGAGTCAGAACTTATCAGCAATTGCAGATGACCACTGGTTTTTGTAAGTATCATGACAGTAAATTCTTACCAGTATAAAGAAAGGAAACACTTTGCCATTGGAGGTAGTGATGATTTCTTTTATGGAAAATACTGATTTGTGGCAGCTTAGAAACCAAAGGGAACGGGGAAGACATGAAACAGAAATATGGAGTTAGAAAATCAGAGGACTTGATTTCAGCTAATGCTACTGTAGAGAGACATGGGCAAGGCATTTTCACCATGTCAAAACTCCACACTGCAGAGGCAGGATAAGTTCTTCCGCCTCCAAAAATAGAGCTTTACATATGGTAAAAAAAAAAAAATGCTTCATAACAATAACACATTATGTTGCCATAGTCTGAAATATTCTATGAAAGCTTTCTGCCCCCCAAAACCTTTATAGTGACATATTTCTGCTTTGTTGAACTCGGTGATTTATCTGTAATGAACACAGTTGATATTCTGTCAAGCACGTTAACGAGGCTGACGCCAGTAAAAGCCATTTGTGTGCTCTATTGCTTTTCCTGCAGATTTTTCACACAATTGAAGCAGATGTTTCTTCTCAATATTATTGTCTTGCTCCATATGTAGTTGGTTAACACATCTGGAAGAACCACGCAGCTGTGTGATATGCATTAACGCAAACCATACTGTGTGTAACTTAAACAACAGGAAAAGCCTCTTAGAGAATTGGCAATTACTTCTGCTAACGGACTTTTGAATCCAAGTTGTACTTCTCATGTTGTGCTTTTTTCCAAAAGGAGGCTGGCGGATTTTTTCCAAACAACTCTATTCAACTTCAGTCATTAAGCAACAACAGCTCCCTATTAATCTGAAAGCAGAGAATTATAGTAGTTTCTGGATGACAGTTTCTTTGAGATACGTTTTTGAGTGTGTTCAGTTGCAATAAACTAATGGTTTGCCTGTTTTCCTAGGAACAGAGATCAAAGACAAATTAAGATGTTATGACTTTGATGTACACACAATGAAGACATTAAAGAACATAATTTCACCTCCCTGGGATTTCAGAGAATTCGACATAGAAAGACAAACTCTGGACGAAAGTGGCATAGTAACATTAGAGACCTCGCATCAAAGGAAAAGTACAGATACCAGTCGCCCATTGGAAGAAACATTCGAGATTGAAATGAATGAAAGTGATATGATGTTAGAAACATCAATGTCAGACCACAGTACGTGACCATAAACACTGGTAGAGAGCTCATTTTGTCTAAGTGTATTATGTTTGTTTTAGCGTTTTTGTTATGGTGTTATACTTTCAAGAATTTGCTATTTTTATATGAATTCAAACTACTACTCTGTACTCAACACCGGAGAAATAATGCTTGCCTTAAGGATGATTAAAAAGTATACATGACGGACTATTTCTACAAAACTGCTCATACATGATGAAGTGAAAAATAAATTCACTTTTTTTTAACTGTTTACTGATCCATGTGTCTGCCATCAGTAAGACTGTGAAGGTTTAAAAATAGTATTTAACATGGAACCATTTAAAATGTTGTTAAACTGAATAGCCAGTCTAATATAGTATTCTGTGGCTTCTGAGTTTTCATCCTGTCTGTGAGGAATGCTTCCTTAGTAAATAGACCAAAACAATCCATGAAGTTTTATACTTACTACTTTATAAATATGTATTCCCTTAAGGAGCAGTTTCAATGGTTTTCCATCATTCGACTTCAATTTGGCATACATTCAATTGATGACAAAGCATGTTACTTTCTTATAATTCCTCCTAGTTTTTTTAATTTCAGTTCTTTATCCTTCTGTATTGTGTTACTGAAACTGTATCTGTTTTTGGTAAGCTGACTCAACAACAAATGTGAGTGACGTAAACATGAAGACAAATCAGTCTTCCCCGCAATTAGCGCTGTAATAAAGTTGTAAGCCACAGTGTTACTACTGCAGGGACCGCAGTCATTCACTTCACGCACGGTTGTTTTGTCAAAGCAAAGGACTAACTGAACAATACACATAACACAGTTTTTACAAGTCTCTAAAGTGTGGTAATTTTAAATATCATTGATTCACTGAAAAATGAAGTAAAACATATGCGTCTGAAACAGCAGCAGTGAATGTGTCCATCCCCTAACCAAGACAGGTCTGTTTGCCTTCTTAGCATGCATGTTGAATGTATTTCTATAAACTTTTCCTTTCCCTTCTCTTTTTGCCTGTTCCACGTATGTCACTGTGTGGGGCTTAAAATTAAGAACGTAATGCTACAAGCTGTCGTAATATTTTCATCTGTGACTTCCAGCTAAGTTTTGGCATTTAATGTTTAGAATAGGCTTCCTGAAGTTTAGCATTCCAGACTGTAGCGTGAATTACTTCAGGACTCTAGAACTAGCAATTTTTCTGTAGACGAAGATTTTTCATGAAATACGATAACGATTTTTGGTTTAGTCAGCAAAATAAAATAATTGGTCTAAAATGTAATTTCTACACTGTATCTCAGTACATTTGTGTTAACATTTAAACATGTATTTTCAATTATACTTTTAGTATAAAGCTTATATGTTTGGTTATGGTGATATAAATTTCATTCACTTTGTTGGGGCAAGGTATAAAAAAACCTGACAAACGAGTGCGATTCATAAAATATTCCCTATACCCTTTTTTGGCACTTTATGTAAATATGAGGAGACAAGGGATGATGAATCCAAGTACCTGTATTGAAACCTTGCTGTCATTTTTGCTTTCCAGTAGTCCATCTTTCATGATTAATGGTCCTTTTAACTTTAAGTCAGACAATGTTTACTTTTAATTTTGCTGATAAATGGATATCAAAGGATGGACCGATGCTGTAAACTTTTGAGTGATTTTTTTTTTTTTTAATTTTGTATAGAGTTTTGCATAAACTGGAGAATATAAACTACTACTACTCATCCCACTACATCTGTCTCGTGGCTCATTGAGTTCTCAGTGGCCAGGTTCTGAATCCTAAGGAATATACAGTTAGTAGAAACCACGACTTGGAAGAAATTACTGGGACTCTCATTAGCCAAACTGAGAGAACTGCTAGTGACTCAAAATGCTAATTTTCCATTTTCCTCTGTCTTGCCACCTTATTTGCTTGCTCTGCTGCTCGGACAGACTTTTGCTGTGACGATTATGTCATCATTCTTTTTCTCTTTTCCTGATAGCGCTCTCATGAATCCCTAGCTGGATCAGGGAGACTTCATCGCGTCAGTGTAAGCCACATGCATAGTTTCAATGGAGGGTATTGGCTGTTTTCCACATGTCTGTGCGTTTTTGAACATTGAACTCAAGTTTTAGGCACCTGCACTTTAAAATTCAAGGGTATTGAGTGAGGAGAAGCTAGGGGCAGAGACTGTGGTTTTTAGCAGCAATTGCACATGTTCTCACTGTTCAAACGGGCTTGGGTCAAGGAGCTCCCGTTGCTTTTTGGTGAACACCAACACAGTATTGTAGAGAAGTCTGCTTCTGTCCCAGTGACAGCGGGAATTGCTTTGTGGCTCCACAGAGGGAATTACAGATACCCAAGTTAGCATTCCATATGTTAAAACCTAGGGATTGGAGTATGTGTCCAGTGCAGAATTCAATACCAATCCCATGTTTTTTTTTGACATTAGAAAGTGAGGTGAATGAAAATGTTTTACTTCCTAGTTCTAAAGCACTTCACCCAAAGTTGCACGTTCTCCTGAAAAACGGGATAAGCCATGCATCTTAAGTGGAAAAGTCTTTCTCCAAGCAAAGCATGGGGAAAATTAATCATTCAGGAAGCATACACATCACTCCTGGCCAGCATCAGGCCTCTTTCCTTCAGTGTGACTGGCTAAAAAGTTGATACAGAGGGTTTTCTTTTCTTCTGGTATCTGGTAGTTAGTGTGTGGTTCAGGTGACTTCTTATGTTTGAGGTAAACTGGAGATTTTTCCTGGGTGCGCTAGAAGACTGGCCAGTTAAGAGCCTGTCTCAACAGCTCCTGCGCTAGACAAGTCTCATCCTTTAAAGGATCTTTTGGTAGTTATTTTTACATCTATGTTTACGTATCCTGAACGATTGTAACTGCAAAGACCATCTCTTGGATAAAAAGACAGCAAAGGCTTGTTGTTGCACGCAGAGAAGCCAGAAGGCTATTGCAAATAGATTCTTAAAGAGCCAAGCTCCTTTTTCTCTGTAACATTATCTTCTTTTAAATCCAGCATAGGTAAATGTTACTAGTTTTCTAGTAAGATACCATGGCAATTTCTACATGGAAGTTAGCAAAAAAGTCTTCTAGCAAATCAGGGCTTTTGTGTCCGGTATGGATATAAGCCTGGGGCTGTTTCCTTTTTTCTGTTACTAATATTTCCATTGACAAAATAGTTCAAAAGATTTATAAAAGTTAATATTTCATCCTGCACTCTCTGGTTATGATCTGATGGTATGTCGGCTCTAATGACAATACTAGTTTATAGCACTCCTGCCCTGCCCGTAGGAATCTACTTACCCCTGTGCTACCTCCTGAGTTGTGGTAACACAAGTTCGTGTGGTTACGTTGTTAATGAAATCGGGGAACTGGTCCAGCATTTAAAAATCTTTTCTCTACCCAGTCAGTTCTTGGGTTCAAAGACAGCAAGCCGCTGCTGTGTTAGTGTCATCAGTGAGGCAGAGTGGTAGGAGCCAGAAGAAATGGATGGAACGACGAGAACAGGGGTTGCTATAAAGACAGTATATCGTGGCAGTGTGCCTTGGCAGGTATCTTCTGGAGGTTTTTTGGCTGGCTGTTGCTGGCCTTCATTTCATGGCATTGAAAGTTACTTAGAAAGAAATATATGTAAAGTGTCCTAGATTGTGAATGACTTTTCTTGGATGTCAGAGGAATTCTTGATATGACTTGGCTTGGCTCCCAGCTCTTTAGGCAGCTACAATTAGGTTACAGCCTGTGAGCTGGTTGATGATGCGTGTCTCAGACAGGACTTTAGAGAAAGTTTCTCTCCTCATTTATCTTCTGTTCAATGGTTTGATCTGCTCTTTCTCTGTCCAAATCCTTGCCGTTGTACCAGCAGCTCCTGCCGTGCCCTAGTCTTCTGCACTTCCTAGCACCTGTCCTGCTCCAGTCCTGCTCTTGCCTGGACTCTGCTTCCTAGACAGCACTTAGTGCCTTTCTGGCTTATTCCAACATTCTGATTTTCACCCTGTCTGTAGTTAAATTGAGTATTGTCCTCGTCCTCATCCTCACGAGGTCTTTGGTTATTAACTTTGGCCTGACTTGACCTCACGTTCTTGACTCTTGCTTCAAGTCATTGCCTCAGTTGGCTTTGGCCACTGGGTGCAAGGTTCCAGGACTCTGTCAGGTTGAGTAGCTTATACACATCCCCAAAGGAGACATCCTCATTCTGTCACATAACCTCATCTCTCTCTTGCAAGGATCAGTCTTGTCTCAGTGAGGTGACTGGTCTGTTGCCTTAAAAGTTTTCAGAATAGGTCTGGAAACCTACAAAGTATTTCTGCTGCAAATGGCTCCAACAGTTTCTTCCCAGGTACTAACGCCTAAAAGATTTGAAAAGCAGTAACACATTTCAGAGTTTCCTCGGCCAACACCACCTGCTTTAATTATTTTGCATCAAATCATGTATTTCCTTCATGTTGTGGACAGCTGTTTGAGGACCAACAATGCAGCAGCATCTAAAGATTGGCAATGACCCCATGTATTCTGCTTAAATTGCAGGCATTTTTGCTCATTCTGTTGCTCTAGATTCAGCAGCTCCAGAGAAGTCCATTGGTATACCCATGACATGTGCCCTTACTTCGGAGTTTGCTGTGCCTCTGCCACCAAGACTAGGAGGAGCAGTCCAAGACATCTCAACTCACTCAGGAATTTCAAGAAACTTTTTGGATCTAAACGCTGCAACATTCATCAATTGCAATTGAGGCCTCAATAAGCCTTGATCTGATTGATGGATCGGTACTTACTTCCAGATCAACTACCTGGAAGACCAGTTTCCCTTGAGGGTCTCAATTCAGGGACACCTTGCAGGTGAGAGATGATTCTGAAGCTATATTACTATGTACCTCCCACATTCTTGTACTTAGGCATTACTGGTGACCTCCCCAGTGATTTGCCACTGACAGAGACTGGACTGTGGCACTACCTGACTCTACAACCATTCATACTTTCTTGTTTGATATGTTTCTTTTATTCATTAAGACAAACTGGTTGCCAAACATAGCAGCGTGTGACAAAAGATATTGGGGCTGATGCAGAAGAGCACAGGGTGTGAGGCTCTGAAGGCGCAAAAGCAGCAACTGAAATTTTGGGAGCCAGTCAGAAAGGCAGGGAAACGTCAGCCCGAAATACTCTCCAGCCTGGTGCATGGCCTGGGAGGCTGAAGCTGGTGGTGCGTTGCTTGGGTGCAGGCACTGCTCTTCTATACTCCCTGCAGCCATAAGACTCCTGAGTCATGAGTCGATGCAGG